CCTTCCTTCCTTCCTTCCTTCCTTCCTTCCTTCCTTCCTTCCTTCCTTCCTTCCTATTGAACTTAGAGAGAGAAGAAGGCAGAGAGAGAAACATTGGTTTGTTGTTCCACTTAGTGATGCACTCATTGGCTGATTCTTGCATGTGCTCTGACTGGGGATCAAACCAGCCACCTTGGTGTATCGGGATGGTGCTCTAATCAACTGAGCTTCCTGGCCAGGGCTGGGTGTTTCTTATGTTATTCTATAATCTTTTTGTATTTATAAAATATTTCATGATTAAGAAAAACATTAAATACCAGATATATTATTTTATAGAGGACAAAAGTTACATTTCAAAGAAAAGGATCCATCCCATTGACTTTTGGTGCACACAAGCATCTATCAAGAACTAAGATTTTGGGGATAGATGGGTGGGAAGAGATTAACCAAAGAACTTTTATGCATATATGCATAAGCCATGGACACAGGCAATAGTGTGGTGAAGGCCTGGGGTGGGGTTGGGGGGGAGGTTTGAGGGAAAAAGGGTCAACGGAGGAAAAAAAGAGGACATCTGACATCTTTACAGAATAAAGAAAAAAAAACACAACTGAGATTTTTATTCCACTCCATGGTCTTATCTGAGGAGCTCAGAGACTTTGTATGGTTAATATAATCTTCAAAAACCCTTTATTTTTCTTAAGCTTTTTCAAAGAAACACTAAGCCTTCATATAGTGAATCCTTATGTTGGAAGACAAGTTGAGGGATCCATTAGTGTCAAGAAAAATTGTGAAAGACTTCAAACTGGGCACTAAAGGTTACTGGGTGCCCAGTCTAGCAGATTATCTCTACCTTTCACTGTCTTTGAGCTATTTTACAACTCTGTGAGCTGCAAAAAACTGATAGCAGTGCAAATGATTCTTGTCCATAGAAATACAAATGCAAATTGTTCTTGGAGTACAATTGATCTCTCTCCCCCTCACCCAAGAAACCAGCGTTTCGTCTATTAATCAAATGAATTTCAGCACTGCTGATTGTCTATATATGTGTCTACTTCTTCAGATTATCTTTTGAATCAGTTGTAATATCTTACTAGTTCCCTCATTCATTAATGAGTTAAAATAAAATCTTGGACACATGCTAAGTTTGTATTTGTATAAATCATAATTTTACTTTTAAAAATAATTAGCTTTCCCGGCCAGCATAGCTCCTAGGATCCAGGAGATCAAGGTTCGATTCGATTCCCAGTCAGAGCAGAAGCCCGGGTTGAGGGCTTGACCCCCAGGAGGGGCCATGCAGGAGGCAGCCCATCAATGACTCTCATCATTGATGTTTCTATTTCTCTCTCTCCCTCCCAAGGAAATAAATAATGATATATTTTTAAAAACAATAATTAGTCTTTAACAGAAGGGAAGAGTGCAGTTTCATCTCATTTCTGCCAAACCACATATATTGCACAATACAGGAGGCAGCTCCTCCCTGGCTATAGACCTGGCCCCTTGGGACTATAAAGTCCTATTATTCCTCTTGTGCTCTTTTTCTCTTACTCCTCCATCTTAAGTACTCTTCTTTAAAATCTATTTTTAAACCTTGGTTCTTTGCTCCCTTAGCAACTGGAAAGATAACTAAGAGGATAATATATAAGGTTTTTTCTATAATTAAGGCCATCTCTACACCCGCTACATGATATAAAAAATTGAAGTACTTAAGGTGTTTAAATCAGACCCATTTTTCAGCTTCGTCCTCTCCAACCTCCCTCCTCCCAAACACCACATTTACCTTTAACATTGTAAACACACTATATATACTTGTCAAATTAATAAACAAGCAGTGGATGCCTTCGTGTACTTAACACCATAGTAAGTGCTAGTGGTATATCATATGTAAGTGAGAATTCCTGAGCCAGGGAAGCTTACAGTCCAGTTGGGAAGACAGAGAAGTAACAATATATGCAGGATGTAAGTACCAAAAGGAATGAGATTGGCAATAAATGCTTCATTCATTGACCTATTGAGCAAAGAGTTATTTATTGCCATTATATGCAGGCACTGTGGTATACAGTGGTGAACAAGACCAGCACACACCCTCCCTTCACCAAGCTCAGTCTAGAAGAGGCCAAGATGAGTAATCGGGCAGTTATAATAGTTCATTGCCAGAATGTCAGTAGGGGAAGCACAGGATGTTATGGGAGCACAAAGGAGGAAAACCTACCCGTGACTTGGTGTCTAAAAAGACCTCCTGGAGGAAGTGATATCTAAGCTGAAATCAGAAAGACCTTGGGCCAAATTAGGCCAAGAGAGGAGATGGAGGAATCGAATGAGATGTAGACTGTGGGAACATTATATAATTAAAGTCTGGAGGGAATAGGAAGCAAAGCATGCTCAGGTGACTGCAGTTTAGTATGGAGAGCGGAAAGGGGTGAGATGAAAGAAGGGAAAAGGGACCACCACGTCACGTGGAGCCTTGTTAGCTATGGTAAGAAATTTCAATTTTATCCTAAGAACAATGGAGGAACTATTAAAAATTTGTTGTTTCATTTCAAAGATTTGGACCTGATCATATTTGATGTTAAAGAGGTCACCCTGGCTGGAATTAGGAGAATGAATTTTAAATGGGTGGGACTAGAGGCAGAGAGGCTAAGCAAAAAATAATGGTCACCTAAATGAAAGTAATGGTAGTGGGAATAGAGAGAAAATACAGACTACAGGATGTTTAAGAGTTAAAATCAAAAGGGTTTGGTTCAGTGGCTAGAGTGTTGGCCCTTGGCCTGAAGGGTACTGGGTTCGATCCCAGGAGTTGTAGGCTCGATTCCTGTGCCCCCATGTGGGCACCTGTGGAAGGCAACCAGTCAATGTGTCTCTCTCCCATCAATGCCCCCCCCCCCTTCCACTCTCTCTGAAAAGCAATGGAAAAAATAACCTCTGGTGAGGATTTAAAAAAAAAAAAAAGGAGGACTTGATAAAAGATGCAGGCAGAGGTATATGAGTCTATCTGGAGTCCAAGACTGACAGCTGAATTAGACATACAGATTGAAGAGTCAGGATTTGTGGAACAAGATGAGGTTGCTTAGAAAGAAGAACAGAGAGAAATATGGGGAGAAAGCCCAAGGCAGAGCCCTGAAGAGAATGGATAGAGCAAAAAGAGTCTACAAGGAGCAGAGAGAAAATAACCTGAGAGGTGGAAGGAAAACAAGATAGCAGAATGTTAGGAAGGTCAAGGGAAGAGAGAGTGCCTCAAAAACAAGAGCAAAATCAACAGTGTCCAACCAGTGTCCAGTCTGCAGAAAGGCCAAGGAAGTGAGAACCGAATTGGGATCTAAAGGATAGCAGAAAATGCCACCCCAAAATGACTGTAGGAGTCCAGGACATGTAACTCCCAAATATGCTGGGTATGTTGATTATTTTGTGCTGTAAGCACTTGAAAAACAGTAAATACAGGGAAAGGATTTCTCTGAACTTCCTTGTGTACCTAAAAACAGATACTCCAAAAGGAACTCACTTGTCATAAATTCCTTCCCCAGGAGTTTCATCAACCAGGAAAGATTGACTCATCACAGGAAAGGAGACAAATTTTGTTGCAAACTATCATACCTTCCATCTATTCTTTTTTTTTTTTTAATCTTTTTAAAAAAATCCTTACCCAAAGATATGTTTTACTGACTTTAGAGAAGGGGAGGGGAGAGAGAGAAACATCAATGTGAGAGAGAAACATCAATTGGTTGCCTCCCATGCAGGCCCCCATTGGGGATCAAACCCACAACCTAGGTATGTGTCCTGACTGGGAATCAAACCAGCAACCTTTTGGTGTACAGGACTATATTCCAACCAACTGAGCCACCCGGCCAAAGCACCTCCCATCTGTTCTTTTAAGGGCCCATCCCTCTTTCCTAAAAATAATTTGCTCTCCTCTAAGAGGCCTACATTCCCCCTCTCCTTTCCCTATGAAGGCGGTATTTAATCCTGAATTCAAAGCCACCTCCAGGAGTTACCCAGTTTTCCTGGATATCTCCCATGTATACAGAAGGTATACTTGTTCATAAACTTCTGTTTGTTTTCCTCTGGTTAATCTGTCTTTTGTTACAGAGCCTCAGCTAAGAACTCAGAAGAGTAGAAGAAAAATTATTTTTCCTGTCCTTCAAATTATTTAACCACAGGGAACTCATTGGTGATTTTGGTGAAAGCATTTCAGTGGCATGGTAAATGATGATTGCAATAACTGGGCAAAACGACACTACAGTTTTTTGACATTTATTTTGTTACTACCAGAAACAAATGCATTTGTTGCCTCTCTATTCTGTATAAGTACATTGTTGTCCCATTTAACAATTATTTGCGTTTCTCTCCTTGTTAGACTTGAACATCTTGACCCTATAGATGATACCTTATTTGGTTTTAGAGCCCCAGTGGCTAACACAGTCTTTGACATACATAAATTGTGCAATATGTATTTACGATGTAAAGGAAAGAGCAGGGACTCTTTTTTTCAGTTCAAATTTCTGCTTTATCTCAGTCAAACCTGTAAGCTCTGTGGTCAGAGTCTGAGCATTAGATAAGCAGTTGAGAATAGGAGCTGAAACTGGTAATTCAGCATCTGCATCCTCTCTGTGGCTTCTCATTTATCTCTGGACCTGTTACAGAGAGTCTTAATTTTCTTATCTATGAAGTGACTACCTTGATATTTACCACCGGAGGTACTGAGAACCTTAATTAACATGTAGAAAAGAATCTGTACTCCTCATAAGATGAGCCCATACCATTATTATGGCCCATTTCATTTAATCTGGATGTTTTCTTAACTAGATTGATTTTACATTTCAACATGAATTAGTATGCAGCGCTATTGTTAAATTGAGCGTTGACTTTCACTCCCCAGAAAGTTTTCTCCTTCAGCAGTGGAAAAACAAAGCATACGTTACTGCAGTAATAACACCCTCACTTCTGATCTTGTCATTTCACAAGAATCTTAAAACAGAAGTTCCTCTGAATTATTGCTTAGAGGAGAGACCTTTGGAGAAAAGGCATGTGCCGTAGGCACAACCCGAAATGCTATTGTTTGCATTTTCCCGTTTTCCTTTTCTGTTTCCATGTTCAATCTGTGAAAAGCCAGAAGTTGAGACCCAGCATCATATAGCCTCAAACACTTCTTTTAAGTGCTCATTTCTCCCCCAGGTGCTCCACCAGTCCTGTGAGGCTTCTCCCTTGAACCCTCTGATGCTCCAGAGAGGACTTCCTAACACCCGGCCACACCTACTCCTCGCCTTGTCGGCCACTGAAGAAATGGTGAGCAAGCACTGGTGGTTTAAGAGCTGCCAACCCACACCTCAGGATGCATTCTCAACACAACCAGACTCAGTGGTGATGCAATCAACATCCTGTCCCAGTGTTTATTATGGCAAGAGATCGTTTCATACAAAGTTGTAGAGATATAGAGATGATATGGAAGTAAAAATAGATTGTATTTAAGTTACCACTCAGGTGTGTTTCTCTTCAGAATGATGCCTATAATTATCCACAAGGAGAAAAGACCATCACAGGAGATGCTCACTCATATTCACGTGAATAGCACACTTGGGTTTTTAATCAGTTATCCACTCACAATTGTAGCCATCGCCCATTTTTGTCTGATATCATTAATAAACATTGTTATAAATATACCTCCTTTAGTTGATTTCACCATTTCATCAATCTGAACACAAACTCCTATGAACCAGCATTACAATAATATCTTCTGACAGCACACATCACTAAGTCGATGTGCTGGGCATGTGGGAGGTGGAGGAGGTACTAGGGAAGAGCAGGGGAAGGGGTATGTATAATTAAATCAGGAATGAAAATACACTGAAAGGGGTGTCAAGTGCAACTAGTCTAAAACACGATGTGCAACCAAATCCTTGGCAACAGTGTGAAATGACTCTCAGGGAGAACATTCACTTACGACACTATTTTCAGAAACTAGTTGGAAAGGATTGCTAAGCAGCAGACTGCCGAATATCATCCCGAGAAACAGCTCAGTAACAGATGCATAGTAAAAGTGGATGGATGAACATAGATGATAAAGACGCAAGCATTTTCATGTGTTAGAAGTCATACTGTTTTGAGTAAGTTATTAAGAATTTTATATTTCATTCTCAGCCAGAAGAAACTTATTAAGTAACTCTTTAAGTGACAAACATTTCTTTTTTGTTGTTGTTAATCCTTACCCGAGGATGTTTTTGCCATTGATTTTTAAAGAAAGTGGAAGGGAGGGAGAAAGGGGAGGGGAGAGAGAGAGGGAGAGAGGGAAACATTGATGTAAGAGAGACACATTGATTGATTGCCTCCCGCACTGGCCCCGGCAGGGGCTGGGGATTGAACCTGCAACCCAGGTACATGTTGAACCGGGAATTGAACCCAAGACGCTTCAGTGCACCAGCCGACTCTCTAAACATCTGAGCCACACGGGCCAGGGCTAGGTGACAGACATTTCAATAGGTGACGTAGTCATCCAACACTGTTCCCTGTTCTCTGCGGTTCATGCAGTGCTACAGTTGCTGAGGTCCCCGCCTTAGATGCCCATGCACACACAGTCTCCACATACCATGTACATATGTGCAAAAAGTGCATCACCTCTGACTGTAAAGAATAGAAAAAGGCCCAGTTCATTGCACGTCAGCATCACTGGGACATCTGGAAGCTTGTTGCTTTTTTCCTGGAGGCCTCTCAGGCCCAGCTTTAATTCTACAGTTTTAGTTTACACCCAAAGTTCTGCCTAGACTTGTCTTAAATCCAGCTGTTTTGGTGTTTCCCAGGGGTCAGCTTGTGTGGGTCAGGTATCTAGGTGGCCATGCTTATGAGATCCATTGGGATGTTTTTTCCCCTTTAATTCATCTCTTTTTTCTATTCCTCTATCACTTACAATCTGCGCGTGTTTTTCTTCAGTGGATCTTAACTCTGCCAAGCCCTGAGTTGAAGCTGTATTTTCTTTGCTGGGCGAATATAAACCAAAGTGATCCCTGAGGGGGGTGGTCACTAAGGCAGGAAGGCTTGCCAGACCCACAGAAACCAGCAATAGTGCTACAGGCAACACGATGCACAATTTCCTCAACAGCATGTGTCTCTCAGTCCTTCAGGGTATCCAGGGGTCTCTTGATTGGAGGCCTCACACTGATGCCACTCTCTCCCCAGCTCATTGCTTTAGCACAACCAGGAGAAGGTGATAAACATCCTGGGCAGAGGGCAAGGCAGAGGATGGTCACAGCTGAGGGGGATGCTGACTTCCAGCTGCAGCTGCTAGGACCACTTAGTGTCTTCCCCCAGACACAGAGGAAGAGCCTTCACAGCTCCATGTGCATGGATAGTATTTTAAAAGATTAATTTATGGTTTTTCCCCCTCCCTGTATATTCTCTTTCCCATTATGCTTTATTGCCTCAGAAAAAGTATATGAGCCCTGGCTGGGTGGCTTAGTTGGTTGGAGTGTTGTCCCATGCACCAAGAGTCACAGGTTTGATTTCCGGTCAGGGCACATACCAGGGTTACAGGTTTGATCCCAGTTGGGACACATCCGGGAGGCAACTGATCAATGTTTCTGTCTCTCTCTTTCTCTCCCTTCTTCTCTCTCTAAAATCAATCAAAACATATCATGAGGTGAGGATTTTAAAAAAAAAGGTATATGAAAGGGCAGATGGTAGTCTTTTGTTTGTTGATTACCAAGCCCTTAGGACAACGTAGGTTTGTGGCTGAAGTAGAAGAAAGAGTGAAGGAACATGTCCAAGAGTTTTACAGTGGAATGTCCTTAAGAAAGTTGAAGGAAACAGACTCCCTTCAGTCTTGGTTTCCTGGCAGGGCTGCAAGGAGGCGGCAAAACCCCAGAGAGGAAGGGCACTGGGGCCCCTCAGCCTTGCAAATAAGCCCATGTCCCAAGTGGGACATGGAAACAAAGATGCCACCAGATCTGAAGGGACTCCTGGGAAAGGACAGGAGTGTTAATGTTGAATGGTCACGGATGACGCAGGGACAGCAGGGCACCTCCCACCTGGAACTGGGTAAGATGATGGAATCTTCACCTCATCCCAAAGTGGGAAACCCCAGGAATGACAGACGTTAAACATTCCGTCTGTCTGTCAAATGGGGCTCAGAGGCAGAAACTCAATTGATACAGAAAACGAACAAAGTGCTGTTCTGCTCCACAGACTGTGGACTGAGAATCGGGTACTCTCTGTACATTCATAGGGAGCATTGTGGAGCTGGAGCTATGTTTTGCAGCATTCCCTCCCTGTATTGCACACGTTAGATTGTACTCTGCATTGTCACGGGAGATTTGGAAGGCAGAGGTGAGGCAGGTGGCAGCCTGGGTGCTCTGGAGGTTGATTTAGGGCTGTAGGTGTCGCTGTGCTCGCACCCTTCCTTGCTGACCTCCTGGCTCACCTCATTGCTGGGGCAGCAGCGGGGACCAGTTCCCTCGCTCCTGCTGTGCTTCCTTGCTTCCCGGGGTGATTCCCAAGTAAATGACTTGCATGCAAATCCTTATTTTATGCTTGGCTTCTGAGAAAACCCAACCTAAACTGGTCTTCACTGAATGGAACAATGGACTGAATCTGATCAGGTTCAATGTGAAGATCCACTCTAAGGTTTCAGAAACAACTATAGGGGAGATACAGTGTCTAATCGCTGGTTCAGTGTGGGCACCGCCAGAGCAGCTGCAGGTCTCAGAGCTGGGGCCGTTTCTGATTGTGCCTGTGGGAAGTCCAGGGGGTCCCAAGAGTCCCAGGTTTTTAGTAATTTTACATCCTGTGCCGGCACAGCAGGAGAATAAGGGTTGTTTGTGTATAGCATTCCACTGGTGCAGATAAAGAGAAGCACATGAGTATGACCCAGATACAGCTGAGCCTCCGTTTCCTGCCTCAGGGCCTGCATGCTGGTCAAAAGAAACTTGTTTGACTCCAGACAGCCTTCTTGAAAGTAACAAAGCCTTTCCTGCATATCTCTCACGAGGTCATTTGAGGAAAGAGTTGCATTACCTGACACAGCAAGTTCTTCAGCCTCAAAGTTCCACCTTTAATGCAGTTGCTTAAATCTTTAGTTCTCCAAAGGCTCCAGCTTGCAGTGCGCTGCCTCCCACTAACCCCCACTTCTCAGTCTGCACATGCAGTTTCCATGTCACACAAACCAAGAGTTGTGCTCAAGAAATAGGGATTAGAGAAGGGGGTAAGGTGGGGGGGAGGAGAGACTAATTATATTTCAAAATGTTGTCCCTGTTGCATGTGAAATTTAATTATTTAAATTGATCCTAAACTTGGGATCCACCGCACCCTTCTCACCAGAGCCAGACCTCCTTGCAAAGAAAATTAGGGTAGAATAATAGTACTCAATTACCTCTCACTTCCCCTGGAAGCCAGTCCCTAGTTTTTAGATAGGTATTACAGGGAGGGTTGCTAATGACCTCCAAGCCCATTAGTAACCTCCTTTTTTTTTTTTTTAATTTAATATACTTTTATTGATTTCAGAGAGAGGAAGGGAGGGGGAGAAAGAAAGTTGAAACATCAATGATGAGAGAGTCATGGATCGGCTGCCTCCTGCACACGCCCAACTGGGGATCGAGCCTACAGCCCAGGCATGTGCCCTGACCAGGAATCGAACCTCCATCTCCTGGATCCTAGGTCAATGCTCAACCACCAAGCCACTCCCGGCCAGGCAATAACTTTCTTAATGTTGGCTTCAAATGCTGATGCAAGTAGTGTGGCCCATTGCCCCTTGGGGAGATGTGAACTTCTCTTTCTGCCCTGGCACAGACAAGTTCCCAGTTCTCAAGAAGCACTTCCCACTGTCCAGACACTGAAATTCAGGCTAGTACAAAGGGCTTCAGAAACTGGCTGACCTCTAAATCCTTTCCCATTTTACTCTTTTCTACACCAATATATAAAGTAAAAGTTATGCAGTGAGACAGAGCCAAAACTCTATTTTCTCTGCTAATGGAGGAGAGTAGGAGAGAAGAAAACCCAAAACAGGCTCTATCTGCACAGAGCTCACATTGTCATTCTCACAGTAGCTCACTTACTTCCTGGGCAGCTTGCCTCTGGAGGGGACAGCAAGGCTGCTGGGGTTGTGGGGCCGGCAGCTCCAAGATGCATGAGAAAGGCAGCCCTGGAAGATTGAGCAAATTCCCTGAGGCACACAAAGGTAAGCCAAGGAATTCAGAGGCAGAAAGCCCTTGCTACATTAGTGCCATCCATCTAGAAAAACACAGGCAACACATCATGGAATGGGAAAATATATTTTCAACTAACAAAGCTCTAATATCCAA